TTTAAATTTTTTTCATTAATATGTGTTTTTGGAGTTAGTTTTGAGTTTATGCCAATTTTTTGTTATTATTTTATGTTATTTGACAATATTTATTTATTTTTTTGTAGGGAATCGTCGAGACTTTGACGGCTAAAGTTGAGGATTTGGATGCTAATAGGCTTGTAGATTTTATTATTGTACTTTGTTAATTTATGTGTACATTTTGAATATTATATCTATTGGATAATTTGACCACTATTTTTCATATGTAATTTTATTTTGAATATGTCAATTTAAATTAAAGTAATTAAAAAAAATAAAATCAAACAATTAAATTAAATTTAAAAAGTAAAAATTTGAAAAAATTAATATAATGAAATTGATATAAGAGAAATATTAAACAAAATGTCAAAAACCTTGCGCGACAAAATATTTCGTCGCGCAAACTATTAAACTAGTTTATTTTAATTAAACAAATTTTAAAAACAAAAATTTTTAAAAATTGAATATTTCGTCGCGCAAAGTATATTTGTGTGACGTTAACTTCCGTCGCTCAAAGTGGTTAATGTTCGTCGCGCAAAGTAGATATTATTCGTCGCGCAAAGTAGATAGTATTCATCGCGCAAAATAGTTAATATTCGTCGCGCAAAGTAGATAGTATTCATCGCGCAAAATAGTTAATATTCGTCGCGCAAAGTTGTTAGTATTCGTTGCGCAAAGTAGTTAGAATTCGTCGCGCAAATTGGTTTAGAATCGTCGCGCAAAGTGACTTTGAGCGACGTTAGTGTTCGTCGCGCAAAGTAGCTATGTGCGACAAAAAATATTTTTCGTCGCGCAAACCCTTTCTTCACGATCTTTGTGCGACAAAATTATACTTTGCGCAACAAAATTATTTCGTCTCGCAAAGTGTTTTTTGTAGTAGTGCCACACTTACAACTATATCTTTACTTGGCATGGGAGACATTGTAACCAAGGAGTCCTTTGAGTGGTTGTTGAATGACCCTAAAATTCTTAGAGCTTCCAATACCATTGGTAGGCTCATGCTTGACATTGTTTCGAGCAAGGTACAAAAGTAGCTATTGTAGTTCACTATTACATGATTCTTAAATTTTATAGTCCTCACACGCATTTAGTAATGCTGATGCTTTGGTCCTTCCGTCAAATTTTGTTTATTTTTTTATATTTTTTTATTGTAAAAAATATTTGCTCACACCATATATTTTTACCCTGCTTCTCACACTACTACAAAATTGGTCATAGGACACTGTTTTATTTTTGTGCTCACTGAGTGGTTTTTGTGCTCTGACTTTTAAAAACACAAATATTTGTGCTTACAATTAATAACCACAATGCACCTAACTTTTACTTGTCGATTTCCCTTATAGGGTTCCTATTGCTTATTATAGAGCACAATTAATCCCTTTTCTTACTTTTGCTCTGACAAGCTGGATTAGACTCTTTGTTATAACCACTCTAACCACAATTCTCAAATCCAAAACCACGGTAGAGTTTGCTTCAAGAACAAAAAGTTCAAATCTTTTACAGATAATTCAAACAAATCACAAACCCAATTTAATGCCTCAGCCCTAAGAAAGTAACAATGATCTAACACAAGCAGAATTACAATTCACAAATTTTGGATTATATTTTTGCAGTTTGAGAAGGGGAGAGGGCATGTTGCTTCTGCCATTGATTGTTACAGGAAGCAATATGAGGTGTCAGATGAGCAGGAAATAATTGATGGCTTCAACAAACAGATTGTGGATTCGTGGAAAGATATCAACGAGGAGTTCCTCAGACCAACCTCTGTGCCAATGCCTATCCTTGTATTTGTTCTTAATTTAACAAGAGTGGTGGATCTCCTCCACAAAAAAGATGATGGCTTCACACATGTTGGAAAAGTCATGAAAGATAGTGTTGCTTCTTGTTTCATTGATCCGGCACCACTATGAGCCTATGAGTTTGGATTGTATGCATGAGAAAGAAGAAGAACTAGAGCTTGCTTTGCTTCTTATGGGAGGGCAGATAAACCATAAATTCAGATGTTCTAAATTCAAATTCACGCGTGAATTGTAGAAATTTTTTACCTGAAATTTGCTTGAAATGTGGACATTTGGAGGTTCCTAAATTAAAGTGGTAGATTGTGACATCATTCTTTTTTTTTTGGTCTGAACCACGAGGTGGTCCTGGATAGGCCCCAACTATGGGTGGCACCTTTAAGCCTTAACCACAACTTATCCATTACTTTTGACTTTCGTATGTGATAGAGAAAATTTAACTAAAAAGAATAGTTTAAATTTAACTAAAAAGAATTAAACTATTCTTTTTTTTTTTATAGAAATGGTACTTCTTTTAATACATGACCTTTTAATGGATTCTAATTTTTCATCAACGATAGGTTGTGTCTGCAAATCATTTTCCACTAAGTTAGACCCCTTTAGCGTGTATGTTAAATTTAAGTGAAAATGATATGTATATGGATTCTAATTACTCTTTTAAATGACATCATCTAATTGTTTCCATATCATTTGTGAGTTATAAAGAGAGTTTGAGTCTTCCATTTGTTGGACAGAATTCAACACAAACATTAGTTCATCAGGACCTTATGATTTAGACTGCTATTATAGTAGTGGACCTCACGGGCTTCCCAGAATATGAGGACTGGACAAGAAATGGGCTGAGGCTCTGATTGTGGAATGAGTTTTCGTCAATTATCATGAGCTATGGAAGTTAAAAATGGATCACAAGTACACATATCAACAACTCTGACAAAGAAACAAAAAATAAAATAAAAATTCATTGTGACAAGAAGAACAGAAACAAAAAGCCCTGCATCACAAGTACACATATATACAACTCTGACAAAGAAACAAAAGAACAGATAAACAGAATATGTATAAAGAACAGCCGTAACAAGCTTGGTGGTATGGTATGGGATCCTTTTCTCTATCAGCTTACAAATGTCAGCCTGTCTAAGTATTAACAATAACCAAAACAACGTCATTGAAAATATAACATGGCTGATACCATAGCGCTCATCACTGAACTAAAGCAAAGGGATGTGTGTTCCCATCATGAATCTATCAAGGAAAGGGAAAAGAAGAACCGAAGTGGTTATTTCTACTGCTACCTCTGTATCTTTATTTTATATACTCAATGCCAGGCAGAAGCTGATATCAAGTTCCTGTCCTTCCATCCCAACAGCGTAGCCCAGTCCCTCTCCACCAGCGTGTAATATTCCGAATAACACCTCAGCAGACTCCTTATGACAGAGTTGACATATGAGCTCAATGGGTATTGCTGAAACCCTGACATTGTCAACCTGGACTTCCACTTGCCAAAGAGCTCATGGCGTTCCACCCTTTCCTTTCCCTCGCAAGCAATGATGTTCACCATATCTCTTGCCAGACAATGCTGCTCCACGTTGATCCTCTCCTTGTTGTTCCTCGGCAGGGTCACGTCAACAGACTCAAACATTGCCAAGTAGTATTCTAGAGTTTCCACAAACCTATTGAAGAAAGGGGTTGTGTTTGTGTTTGACTCTTGCTCCACCAAAGTGGTCACTTTTGGAGATAGTTGAAATTGGTCCTTAGTGCTAAAATATGAATATGGTTTGAATACTTTGGGTTGAGTTTTATTAGTATATATGAGTTTACATGTGTGCTTTACAAGGAAATAGATACAGTAATCAATTAGGATAGTATCTCCTAATTATACAATGATTTGTCAACTATATATAATAGGAAAGTAAATCCCTTAATTAATCAAGGAAATAAATCTCTTCGATTAATTTGGAGACTCACGTCAACACTCCTCCTCAAGTTGGTGCATATATGTCACCAATGCCCAACTTGGTAAGTGAGTTATGAAATACTCTGCCACAAACAATTTTTGTTAAGATATCTGCCAATTGATCTTCTGATTTTATGAATGGTATGCGGATGATCTTCTTCTCAATTTTTTCTTTGATAAAATGTCTATCCACCTCAACATGTTTGGTTCGATCATGTTGAACTGGATTATGGGCAATATTGATAGCTGACTTGTTGTCACAATGCAACTCCATTGGCTTTTCTGGCTTGAAGCCCAATTCTGTCAAGAGTCTTCTGATCCACAATAATTCACAAACTTCGTGAGCCATTCCTCGATACTTACTTCTGCACTAGACTGAGAAACCACATTTTGCTTTTTACTCCGCCAAGTAACTAGGTTACCTCCCACGAATGTAAAGTAACCAGAAGTAGAGTGTCTATTTGTAATGGAACCAGCCCAATCAGCATCTGTATATCCAACAACTTCAAGATCTCCATTTTTTGAGAACATTAATCCTTTCCCAAGGGCTGACTTTAAGTATCTTAAGATCTGATCAACTGCATTCCTATGAGAAACACTAGGTGAATGCATAAACTGACTAACCACACTAATAGCATATGCAATATCTGGTCTTGTGTGTGCCAGGTATATCAATCTTCCAACAAAGCGTTGGTACTGTTCCTTATTGGTTGGTTCTTGATCCATGTCTTCACACAACTTGTGATTCATCTCAATGGGTGTGTCAACAGGTTTACATCCAAGCATTCCTGTTTCAGTGAGTAGATCCATTACACACTTCCTTTGAGACAGAAATATACCAGTTTTTGACCTTGCTACTTCGATTCCGAGAAAGTACTTCAAATCACCTAAATCCTTCATCTCAAATTCCTGAGACAAATACTTCTGCAACTTCAATTGCTCTTCTGTGTCGTTTCCAGTTACGATTATGTCATCTACATAAACAATCAAGGCAATAAGTTTTTCTTCATCACGCTTCAAGAATAGGGTGTGATCTGAATTACTCTGTGTATATCCAAAATGCCTCATAGATTTAGTAAATCTGCCAAACCATGCCCTGGGAGATTGCTTTAACCCATATTATGACTTTCTGAGCTTGCAAACTTGTTTTTTCTTGTTATGAGCTGAATTACATCCTAGGGGTAAGTCCATATATACTTCTTCTTCCAAGTCTCCATGTAAGAATGCATTTTTGACATCAAACTAATGTTGTGGCCAATTAAGATTTGCTGCTAGAGACAATAGGACTCTAATAGTGTTAATCTTGGCTACTGGGGCAAAGGGCAAAGGTCTCCTAGTAGTCTATCATATGTGTACCCCTTCACCACCAATCTAGCTTTATATTTTTCAACGGATCCATCTGCTTTAAGTTTCACAGTACAAATTCACCTGCATCCTACTGTCTTCTTTCCATGAGGTAAGGGCACGAGTTCCCATATGACATTCTTTTGGAGAGTTCGCATTTCTTCATTCATGGCTTCTTTTCATTTTGGGTCTTCTAGTGCTTCAGTTACACTGTTGGGGACAGATATGTCAGCCAACTGCTTCAGATAATGCACACGTGACTCTGATAATCTGCTGAGAGATATATAATTATTGATGGGATAAGGGACTATTTTAACATTTAAGCCTTTTTTTTACTATTCAACCCTCATTATATTAGATTGTGGTGTTCTAATATTTCATTGAAGAGCTAACATGGGCTTAGCCAAGTTAGTTAGAGTGGATGTGCTCCCACTCTGCACCGGAGTTCGAATCCCCCTCCCCGTAATTTAGAGTAGAATATTGCTTGTAAAAATTTATTTTTTTAACGCATGAGCATTTTCATGGTTTTTGATATTTCACTTTTAAGGCCTTCTACCTATATATATATATGGATATATAGATAGATAACAATATCTGCTTCATATTGTACTCAAGGTTTGCCACGGCTCTTCCTTTCTGGAAACTGATATGTAGGTTTTGTGCCTTCTGAAATCAACTCATCATGTGATATTTCATTAGTGTTATCAGTTTCAGGAAAAAAATGTTACCTGAATGACTTCCTCAACAGGGGATTGATGTGGTACTGGAGCTTAAGTGGGCAAGAAACCATACTCCTGAAGAAATCAATCTTGAATCTGACCTAGATATATATGAGAGAGTGTTTGATCTAGCTAGATGCATATTTCATATTTCAAATGCAGTTTTTGAAAAATCAATTTGGAAAACTCAAAGGTGAAAAATATGATGATTTTCTCTTGAGGAAGAAGAAGAGAAAGTTTGCAAAGAAATTTTCCAAAACTTACCCTCAAAAGAGACGGTTGCCAAATGAGGAATTCTTTTGGCTTTTACCCAAAAATTCCAAGGTTAGAATAGTATACATGGCAGTAGAGAAAATTCACAGAATAGGACAAAAGAGTTGGTTAGGATCCAACTGGAAACTAGTGAGCTAGAAATCCTACTTGTTTGCAAAGAAATTTTCCAAAACTTACCCTCAAAAGAGACGGTTGCCAAATGAGGAATTCTTTTGGCTTTTACCCAAAAATTCCTAGGTTAGAATAGTATACATGGCAGTAGAGAAAATTCACAGAATAGGACAAAAGAGTTGGTTAGGATCCAGCTGGAAACCAGTGAGCTAGAAATCCTACTGATGCAAAGGTTTACTAGTCATACGAAAGAAAGATGACTAGTCATAATCTTAAGAAATTTAGTGAATGCAATATGATGCAATGCAGAAATTACCTTTGTCAAACGCATTGTTGTCCATCATATTGTAGCCAAATAAAAACACCTAGACAAGTAATTCTTAATCTAAACTTAGAGCTTGGGAAATTACAATGATTGTCCTATTACAATATTTTCAAGGGAAGCCAAAAGAAAAACACAAAATGTATACACTTACAATAGTGACCTTATCATTCTCAGCAGCTCATCCCTAGGATTGTTCTCATCAACACTCTCATCTGGTGTGTGATGAAGTTGCAGGGGAAATTTCACAGCAAGCGCCTCTACAGGCCTGACATCAAGCATGTCCTGTGTGACATCAGGTGCAAAAACTAGCACTCCATGAAATTCAACTAGGATGTTAAATTTCTCAAAGATAGCTTTCAGCCGTCTCCCAACTACCTCCAATCCATCA